AGTTCCGTCATCGATACGCTTTTGACTGGCTGCAATTCATCTTGCCGCGCCCGGCTCTTCCCCTGTTTCCAGACGGCGCCTTTAATTCTTTCCTCTTCACCTTCAGCCAGCTGCATGGAACGAATCGGGCAGTGTTGATTGGAAGAAATTCAGACGGGACGTGAGATGGCTGCTGAGAGGCACTGATGGAAGGACGAGTCTGTGAGGAACGACGGGGCGGAAACCCCTTTTCCGGATTTCCGCCAGATAATGCCGGATGATGGGACCTATTGGCGGAATTAATTAACATTCAGGGCGCACGCGGACTCGGAAAAAAGGGGCTCATTTCTGCGCGGAGAGAGGAGGAAGGGAGAAAAAAAACAACGTGAATTTCCCTGAGCGATGGCGCGTTGCGAGGAGATACGCCGTTCAATTGGGCACGAAAATTGATTGCAGAGGAGACTTGTGGCACGTGGAATTCTTGCGAGGAGTAGCAGGTGTGTCCCAAAGAAGGATTCCGGGCTGATGGGGCGAATTGCACCGCCCGCCTGCCGATTGATGAGGGTTCTCAAGTCCGATTCGGATTATATTTCCGGAATGATTAGCGGTTAGCCTGATGTCAGCCGAAAATTTCCACTTCACAATAGCGCGCACGAGCTTCTCCGGGTTCTTAATTTATTCAGCGCGGAGCAATCCGAGTCGTGTCGAATACAGGGCTAGGATTTTCGCGCTGTCGGTTCTTTTCCAGCGGGTTTTGTTCATTTTTTACACCTGCAGGAGTGAATGATGGGGGAAACTACAAAATTCGCTGGCGCTGTCGTTGTGAGCAATCGACTATCACTCCAACAGTCCCGGAGTCGCATGCTGGAAAACCAAAGCGTTGAATTATTCGCGAGCGGAATGAATGACCCAGCATTTATTGGAAAGTTGGAGCATTGTGGTTTCCACTGCGGCTGTAGAGTATAATAGGACGGTCCGTTTGATTTAGAACAGCACTAAGATGCGAAATTGCTGCTATATTACCCATTTAAAATGGAGAACAGTGGGAAGCGGAGATGACATTCACAGCACATACGCAAGAATATTTCCCTCCAGCATACTGGGTTCGAAAATGAATTCATTTCATCACTGAATCTTTCAAAAGAACAATCACCCTCATACTGAATTATAGATTGAGCATAGGCGAATGGACTCATTACGTTCACAATTGGAGATCCCTCCCCGCCGAGAACCTGCTGGCGATCTGAACATGTCTCAGAACTTTAAAAAGGATCCTTTCATTGCATAATAAGCTATTTTAATTCTTGAATCAGGGCGAATTTTTTTTCAAGAGGAAATTTGATTATCAGGGTTTAATTACTGTGCCCAGTTCTTCTCCCTGAATAATAAGATATCACGCAGGAAGGTTATCTTACACGGAATGAATTACTCCAGGATGAAAAGAGGATGATACTGTACTTGAGCAATGACCTGACATAGTCCGAAAAACGTTGCCACAAATCTTGAAGGGCAGGGAATTTCATACATACCCTGATGAACTTTCCTTACGAAGATCAGCTATGTGTAAAGCAGATCTAAATAGTTTTTTCTCTCGCGTCTCGCGAAATCCTTTTTTTTATTTCTGGTACTGTACTGCATTTTAATTTTCTGATGCATATTATTTTGCTATACATTTTACAAGAATTCCCAACAATTCAACAATCTTTAGAAAATTAAGGTTGACATTCGATTGAAAATAATGTTCGCTATGCTCGTTTCCCGCAATTGAGTGGAGATTTGAGAGCAATTACTGTAATCGAAGCCCGCATTATTGACGTTTTATCAAGGTAAAAATGTGCTTTTTTCAACGGACGACTAACCTCTGTACCCTTTTTAGTTTTGGTAACACATCGCAGAGCAAATTATTCTGAGTTGAACTGCCTTGGATCTGGGATTTCTGCTGACAAAAAAAGGCTCACTTTGGATTTCGGGGTTGGATTTCGATCATGGAATCGATGAAGAATTTTTTCATTTTCTCCAACCGTGGAACTCTATTGTATGAACTCTTCCAGTCCCCACACATATCGATTAGAACGATTTGATGACAAATTAGAACGATTTCCGGTATTCGATAAGAATTAAAAATAAATCGGAAGGCTTTGATTGAAAACTCAGCTCAAAAAATAATCGAGCGCGTGAAATACTGCTGAAGAACGGATGCCGAAGAGGACGTCGAAAAAATAGCAATGCACAGTTGACCAAATCATTCTTTTTGAGTTCGACTTTTTCTTGTGGTTGGCTATATTTACGGAAGGGAAAGAAAATTCAAGATATGCCTTTTCATCAAATGCGTCCACTGCATTTCAAACGAATTGTAGGATGGTAATTTTTCATTACGACATCATCCGACTAGTTCGCAGTTTCACGCAAGTACAACTTGCGTAAAATCTTGCTAGGGATTCAGCGACAAATTAGAACTACAGTAATTTATTCTCATGACAAAATAAAAATTTCTAGCCACTGAATGGGTTCGAGAACGAATGCAGTCTGAAATTCAAGAAGTAATTTACCCTTTATACGTCGGAAACATGCCACGGGTTCGATTATTCGCGTATCTACATTACTCTGCGAATGACGACAGATCTGCGTGATGCATTTGTGGTTCAGCCCGTGGTTGACCCTAAATGAAAAAAGTGTGGCCTTGAATGAACCAAACTCGAGCCCTAAATTGGCTGCCGCGCAAAAACGGAGCCTTCTCTCCTTTTAGGGTCCGCGAATATGGCAGCATTCGGGAGACCATTTGCGAGGGGCAAATACAAGTGTGTAGCATAAAATAAAGATAAGGAAGCTACCGTCATGAAATGGCGAGAAAATGCATACTTGTCCGATGAAAAACGTCCCCGAGACCGTTTTACAGATTCAATAAGAAAACTCAAGAGAAGAGAAGAATTGCAAAAATAAAGAACTGCACGAGATTGACTCCAGTGTGGAACGTTCGCAGTATTGCTGACGTCATGAGTATACTCTCGATACGAAGTGAAATTCCCCGACAAAATAATCAAAGATGACGCGATTCGTTACACTTTTAACAAAATATCCGGAGGAAAGATAATTTCGACTCATCCAAATAATGAAAAGTTCGCGAAAAAAATGAAACAAGGCAGCAGCCATCCTTGCAACAATCCAATTTTTCTGCTCCTCATCAGAGCTTGATTCCAGAATTTTTATGAGCAAGTAAAAGAACAGAGAAAAATAATTTTAGTGGGACGCCCACATCCAAAAAATGCCACGCAAAGAAATACTGTATACTGTAATAACTACTGTATGCGAAAATTCTCCCGACATTTATTTAAAATTCCGTATATTGCCACGGTAAATGTATCCAATTGAAGTAAACCAGAAAATGCTTTTCAACATCCGGACTCGACTGGGGAACCAATTGTGTCCCACCGTAAACCCTATATCTCCTGAAAAGTGTAAGCTGACTCGCAAAAGCATCTCTGAATTATGTTTCTGCGTCAATCGGTTGTTCAGTCTGAACAAAAGCATCAAGAACAGAGAAATGTGAGATTTTTTTTCTTCACCGAATGAATACTGAACTGATGAAAATAGCTGCGATATGCAGCCATTGCTCTCTTCTCTTACACTCTTCCCCATCCCGGCAGATAGGTGGGACATTTTTAAAGGAAAGAAGTGTGACAAAAACTCTTCGCAGTTTTTTTCTTTCTTTATCCAATGTATATACTGGTCATGTCAGTGCAGCTAAACCGTGAAACGCGAGAAAGAATAGCAAACAGTGCACAGTACTGTATAGTAAATTGTTTTGTTTTTCACTTTTCGGGAGACGCGCACTTTTCGGGAGATTTTTTTGTTCAAAATCTGTTTACTCTTTTGATTCCATCCTCAACTGCAGCATATGGTGTGGTACAAATGCTGCAGAATTTCGAATAATGACTCAAACATTATCCCGAGATAGGCAAGTATGTGGAAATAGCTGAAAAAAGTAATGAATGACTGAAAAGATATCAACAGACTTTTTCCACCTTTGCGTAAAACGTACCTGCTGGACAGCAACCTTCGCATGTGTTTCGTTCTCGCTCGAATTCGGGTTGCGATTCATACGGAAAGATTGTATCATCTTCGAGACTCTCCATTGCGTCGAAACGACAACTAATAATCACTTTGGGAGGGGGGGGGGATTTCCCCGTTTGGAGTTCGTTATGCAAGGAGCACCTCCCTGCGGTCACGCGAACTACGTTCGTACTCGAACCATCCATTCATCAAACATTCAAGCGGGCGTCTTCTGAAAAGCTCCAGCATCTGCCGGCATCAATTCCCCCTCGGAACCTCCTCGACGTCGACGTTATTAAGTTTCCCCTGCCGAAGTCCCGCGATCAGAGACCAAGATCATTAGCGCTGATTATAAGTTGCATCTTGTTCCGCGCCAACCCACGCGCTCGTTAGGCCTCGCCACGTGGAGAAGCTGGTCTTGATGAGTCAGAGTCATTCGCCACTTGAATTTCATTCCCATCAGCTTGATGAGCATGAATAGGATCTGGGTCAGGCTCCTATTTCTTCTCTCTTCGTCGATCCGCGTTGTCCTTGATCGCGTTCGTCGATTCGACGAAGAAGAACCCCTAATATCTCTACAGGAAAAAAAAAATCCACCCATCACACACACAAACGCCGGAAAAATTATCTTCTCGAATAATACACGTACCAAATTTATCCCGTCCCCCGATGCGTCAGAATGAAAAAAAGAGAAAAAAAACACCGTTTTTAGTAAAAGATTACGTTTATTTAATCCATGATTACGCTTCTGTTCCCCATAAACATAGCGTAACTAAAAGTTGCATTCCACGCGATGACCGGAAGATTTTTGGTGCGTCGATTAGAAGACTGGATTTATCACGGCATTCTGCACATATCAGTAGAGGTGCAGGAATAGGAAACTCCTCGTACATAAATAGTAATATTAAATACATCAGTGTAAAACGGTTTGCGGAAAAAAAGAAGCGTAGGATGAGAGAACCGAATCAACACTAGAAACGACAGACATCCGTAGCGACCTGCGACGCTCGACACAGAGCAGCACGCGTAAGCGCATAAACGTCGGCTGAGGCGTGACGTCGATGAGCACGGAGACGGGATTCAGAGAATTTCGCATTCACTCCTTCTCCGGCTCGGGACGCAACTGCGGCATAGCTTTATCACACTCGAGTTTGCACATTAGCCACGCAGCGTATTGATAGGCAAAATACATATCAATTGGAAAGGCAAACCGGCTCCGGTTCAACGTTACACCCAATAAGCAGTGCGATTCCGAATGGAACCGCTCACTCGGATGGCGCCGCCTCGTGTTAGGCGCTTTCCCGGCAGACTTGAAACTCGCGTCAAGTCGAATGCTGAAAAATGCTCATTTCGCCCGAAGGGTGTCGCATCAAGCCACAGTGTTGGAGGATTTCCGTGACAGTGCGGGACTGTGCGGAGGTGGCGTCCGCGGCGGCGGCGTAATGGCTGTACGGCGAGGCAGGCTGCCGCTGCGCGTGGCGGACTTTCCACGCACCCGCGGACCCATCGGCGACGAACTCGGCGAGAAGTTAAGGTGATGGTAGATCATGACGCCGATGTCCTTGTGCCCAGCATCCAACGCGATCTGCAGCGCGCTGCTACCGTCCTGCATCATGATCATCATTTCATTAGTACTGTGCGTACGGTTCCACATTTTGACCGCGGTACGAGCCTTTCTATGGCTCTATGCTACTCGCGCGTGTAAAAACGTCTTTTCTTGAAAATAAGAAAGGTAGGATGACACGTATCCGTTCTCGAATTAGATTACAGAGCATCACGAATTTCCCCCAAAAAACTGATCAAAGCTTTTTTCCTGTGAGGCATACAGTATGCAAGAAGAACGTCTGAGATTTACGCAGACTTGAATTTCTAAAATAAAATAAAATTTATCAATGTAAAAATCAAGCAATTATAAGCTGCTGACTGGTATACAATTTCAAGGCACGATTATTCGTTTAAGGGAAAACCTGATGTTGACTTGTTCACAGATTGAAAGAAAAAGAGATACTGTATATGCATTTTTAAAAGCATGGGTCGGCTTTTTGTCTTCCAAAATTCGGCCAACTTTCCCTTGGAATAAGTAAAAAAAAGACAGACTTTAATTCTTAATTACGACTATTTGTTCTGCATAAAAAAGCATAAGAGGTGCTTTCACAAGGATATGTTTGATGGGGGAAATTTTGATATTGATGTTCGTCTTTCAAAAGGCAACATTACGTTAACTATTAAAGCCTCGAAACCTCGAACTGTTCATTGTTTCTTCATTTTCAGCAAAACTGCTGTACTGTATTAGCCCTGATCATTTAATTTTCGAAACAAAAACTAAGAAGTATTTTTTTAAAGTTGGAAGTGTTTCCCGGGAAAACGCAGCAGTCATACAAAAATCTATTCAATGAACAGTAGCGTGGAATTTTCAGATGAAGTTAGCGGAAATACACGAGAGTAACATTTCGTAAAAAGTAAATGTGTAGATAATCTGTACCAATAATGCCCATATCAAGTTCTCTGAAGATAATATAATGACGATTGAATCTCATATTGCACTGGAAAGAAAACAAAGTAAAACTACAGTGCCGTACTGTAAAATATGAAATATAATTGCACAATATTTTTTAATTATTCGACGCGTAAACAAGATCGGTCACGAACAAGACGACCATGTGTATGCTCAACATCTTAACGCATTTCTGAACCGCGCAGACCACTAGCTGTGTTTGCCACCAGGTTTTGAATACAGTGTATATATCCAGAACATTGACACTGTATGTTATAATACAGTACTGTAGGTTTACCGCGGAGTATGACATATGGTATATGCATAACCAAAGTCAGCGAGGCAATTTTTCCTTCCTGCACAATCTCGCTTAAGTTTCTAAAAGACGAGAAGAAAAACGAAAACGCAAAAATAATCAAGGCGGACGTACCATGTCCAGAAGAGTGGCATCACAGTCAGCTTGGGACAACAGGTAGCGCACTATATCGATGTGCCCATGTTCCGCAGCACACATGAGAGCTGTGGATCCGTCGGTGTCTTGGATGTTCAGGTCTGCTCCAGCCTCCAAGAGCAACTTGACCATCTCGTAACGCCCATGACTGACAGCGAGCATTAGCGCTGTTTGCCCATGCTATAATGAAACGAAAGAGCTCATCAGCGCATTTCAGTCCTGAATCTTCCGAGTACTCCAACGGTTCGTCGTTTAATCTCTAAGAATCCAACAGGAGGCGCAAAATCGTCCCGCATCCATACCACGGTTTCAACCGATATCGAACGTGAACGTACTGTACAGGAAAGTGAGTCTAAAAGTAGCGTGTCACAGAACAGCAAATGTGCAAAGCAGTTTCTCATTACAAGACAGGGAAGCAACTTGGTTACTCATTAAGGTCAGACGTCCCCTTACTGTATATAGAAGGTGATCCTAACAAGGCATTTTCATGAAGGAAAAAGCATGGATATCTCTACAGCACATATTTTTTAAGCCTCCAATCACCAAGACAGAACTGCGTTTTCAAAAATCTGCTCAGGGTGCAAGGAAAATGAAGCCTTGATTTCCATTTCTTCTCCTTTCAGTTTTATTTTAAAATCAGGGAAGATGAAATGAACGTACAGTAATATAGCATGTACAAAAATATATCATGACGGTTCAACGGAGAAGTCATTTAAAAAATTTCACTCACTTGACTGGCCCTTATGTTAACATCCGCCATATGAAACAAGCGCCGTACGACCTGACGCACTGTGTCGTGCACCGTTTGCGCCAAGGAAACAAGCATTGTACACGTGTACCCTGCTTTATTTTGTAAGTTGACATCGCACACTTTTGAGTCCAACAAAAGGCTGACGACGTCGAAGTTACCGTTTGAAACGGCATAATGCATCGCCGTGTTACCCTGAAACAGAAGAGAGCCTCCGTTATCGAATGCCTCCATCAGGATTCAGGAAATGGTTTCTCACGCTGGCGTCCATTAAATTGACTATTTTATTCAGCAGTTCCTTCGAAATTTCTTCGCAGAAGTCCAAGTAAGTCTCCACGACGTCAGGCTTCGCTTCAACTGAACTTGTCATCTGTTGCAAGTAAGACATGCACGGACTGAATCATACATCATTCGTGAGTTTATACCTCACGCTTTACCTTGAACCACTCTTCTTGAACAATATGCAAGGCTTGTGCATAATCCAGATGAGTTGATAGGTCGTGCTTAGCCTTTACTGAGTCACTAACGGTTGCCAAGGCTTTCTTTACGCTAGGCGGAATATCAACAGCTTTTCTGCAATAAAAATCCGAACAATTAATGGGAGACATTTTTAAAAATACTGGAAATCAAAACAGATAATTATATTTAATACTGCCGTAATTTTTCACACCAACAGTACCTTAAGAAATACGAATGAACTGAAATAAACAGTCCTCGCATGAGCAATCATAATCTTTAAAAAAAAGTGAGTGGGAATTTCTCGCCGAGTAAACATATTTTCCAAAAACAACTTTTGGATTCCAATCAATTTTATGATGACCGTATATAAGTTGAGCCTGATTTGAAGATGAATTAATGAAGTCTCACTTCAAGTTCTTCGTCGAAGTTTCATCTCAACAATTTCAGGAGATCTTACTTCAGGTTGGACAAAAGTTCGCGTTCGAAATTAAGCTTGTGATTTTATTCGTAGATCATTCGAGACAGTAGGCATTTTAAAAATCAAAGCTCCAGAAGAGATCATTTCCTGACGGGATCAAGGCAATATTTTCAATGGTATTTTTTAAAGCCTAAAGGCCCTCATTCATTATAGGTACTTAAAGTCTAAAGAGCGTCCGCGAACCTTTGTCTAACCCTTCTCATGACAGATGCAAATTTGGTGAGCAATATTTAATTGCTTCACCTTCCTCAGTATATAGTCTCGATGCAGCGAAAACTTCCGTCACACAAAAATTTTGCTACATCGAGACACAATGTCGCTGCTATGCAACAAATACCTTGAAAATAATTCATGTTACAGCATAAAAGCAAATGCAAAACGCTTTTTGTTTCGTTTCGGTAGTGTTGTAGAGAACTTCTATACCAGTAAGTTTTGCACTGCTGTTGATGTGAATTCAGTTACACAACATTTAACGCGAGGAATTAAAAAAAAAGTACCTCGGCGCGAAAGTCTTGGCAACACTGCCACCGAGAGGTTCCTTGGTCTCCTGCAACGGAGATTTCTCAGCAGATACGCAAGGTGGCGTTTGCGACGGCGACGGGCTCTCGAGTTCTCGCTGCAAGGCCGATCTCTCACGAGCTCGAGCACGTCCTTCAGCTAGCCTAGCCGAGGCTAGACGATCCAGACTGCCGGACCGGGCTGGCGGCGACGGCGTCTGCTTCCCACTGTTGCTCGGTGAATAGCGACCGCGCTTCAGCTTCGATGGAATTTCGGGCATTTTTCGAAGCAGCGTGGGTGTCCTCTGGGAGGCTGGAATCGAAGGTGAGGTACGCTGAGGAATCTTTGAGCCCACAGACGCGGGTGCATCCGGCTGGTTCGTCGGTTTCGGTACCTGCGGGATGGACAGATTATCGGGAACTTGCATTTTTCCATTTCTTCCACTACACGTGATAACCTCTCTTTCATACCGAAACAATAAAAATGGGACTTAAACCTTCATTACTGCACTGCAGAGTTGTGATTGAACTTTTGCAAATCATGCATCCTAACTTTGACGTCATCACGCGATTATATTGGGGGGGGGGGGGGTAAGATAAATTTTTTTAGGTTACTCAATGTTCTGCAGTGCATGTTCACGTGTTTTCCCCTGCTGTTTTCCCTCATACATTCGGCGCACCAGCAACTGGTCACAACGGAAGCCACTTTCTGATTTTCTTGCGAAGCACGTGAACAAGACGTTCGTATAATTAGACAAGATCATTGTTTTTGAATGCTCACAAACAAATTTTTGCTGGGTGCAAGCGGGAAAAACTGCAGAAAAAATATTAAATGTTCACGTCGATCACTCTTCCAACCTGAAGGCTGACAGGACGTGGAATGCGTGACGTCGGAATAGGCGGCAAGGTTGACGTGGACGTTGTACTCGGTGTATCCGCACCGTCTGGCTCCGCCGGGATTCCGCGCAAGATGTCCTCGTCGGCCTTTTGCACGAAGTCCTTGGCCACTGACCTAATTTCAGCCATACAATTGTCGCACAAGCTCACTCCGAAAGCTTTCCGGTCTACTTCAGGAGTTGATGGGGCAGATTCCCGCTTCAGCTTCGTAGTTTCAATCACGCTCATCACCGCAGCAGGCTCGACTTTTTCTTCGAGCCAGGGCTCCGTATTAACTCCGGAACTCATCTTCTCAACCTGTCGAGGAGAACATGATAAAATTAGGCATACTGTGCAACTCAAAATGAGTGACAGAATGAGACCTTCTTTGCACAAGTGACACTAGAATATCATAGGGGTGTTAGTTCCATTCGGCAGCAGCTTCAGCCTTCTTAAAATTCAGTTCTGGGGCATTTAAGAGCGACCGAAAACAACTCGCTTCCGAAAAGTAGGGGAAGAAGGGAAGAAAGGCACGAACAGCACCTGAGAAGTATTCACTACTGTACATACAAATGGTTGAAATGCCAAGTTTGACCCATGATCTAGTAACTTCATTTACCCGGTTTGCTCGTTGAGAAATGCTTTTGACGAGTGAGTAAGAGAACCGAACTGCATCATTGTCTGACTGAGAGATCGTTTTGCGCAAGTGCTGTTTCGAGTACGCGCCTTTTTGGGATACACACAGGTTGAACGTGAAATAGTCGATGATAACCTCTTCTAGCGTACTCACAGGTTTTACAACAGGCTCCTTTTGCTCAATTTCGTCCGTGTTGACGGATATATCAGCAGTTTCGCACGGATTCATCTTGGTGCCAATTGAGCGGAGTGCCATGCGCTGTGTTTGCACGCTTCGAGACGCCGACGAAATGGTACATTGGACACCTACGCAGCGAAGATCCGGAACAACACTAGCGGCAGCTTGTTCACCTTCGTTGATATCAAAGTCTCCGACTGCAGCGTGAACAACTTTCTTGGCCAACTGGTTGTTTGGTAAAAGATACTCAGCTGGATCGTCACTACCTGTTGCAATGCTCCGCTGCAACCTTCGACTTTCCCAAAGTGCTTCTGTGTTAACCTATATAGGAGTGAGGGGAAAATATTGTGAAACTCATCGTGCCCGTACAAGAATTATTGCCAGTGGCATGTTTGATTCCGCAAGAATTTAAACACTTACCTAATTTAGGATATTTTTATTCATTCAAAAAGTGAAAGGGAACATGAATACAAGACAGGAAACTAGGCTTTGCACGAGAGCTTCTAGAGATGCTGAAATTCTAAATCTGTTTTGGTAAGATGGAACCAAAACAGAGCCCTTTCAGTCAACGAAAACCATAGCCGACACGAAAGCATTTTCCAAAAGTATGCAAATAAAATACAAAAGCATCCAGATTATGCGTGCTTCAAGTCACCGCTGCACTAAAAAGTAAAATGTCAAGAACTGCATGGCATCCCTGCTGCATGCGTTACAATAACTGAGCTTTTCATGAGCTTCCCGAAGACATTGTTATCTTAAACTCCGGTCGATGCAAATACAATTTTAATCAAAAATTTGGCCTTTTCAATTCTATCGAAGAAACAGCAGCTGGTCTTCCGCTCAGAATAATCAAGGCTCAATATTAAATCGGGGAAAATGCGCAGAGCAGCGGATGAAATCACCCGTACACACCTGAAGCCCGAAATCAGCAGTCGTCACAACCAACGACTGGTCTGCAGGGTTGATGAACACGGTCTTTTCCACCGTGCTTATTTCACGGGCCTGGCTGAGCTGACGAGCGAAGTCCCTTCCCAACAACTCTGTTTGCGTCTGCTTTGTCAGAGCGAACGGATTTACGAGTTGCGCAGGCAACGCAGCTTGGCAAGACGCATCCGAAGTGATTGTGGCAGCTTTTTCCAAAATCGATCGGTGCTCGCAGAAAGTGAGGAAGTCCCCGTGACGCAAGTCAGTGTTGACAGCGATCGAATCGACTGCCTTCGCAGCTTCCTCCTCCGTCTGCGCAGACATGTCGATGGTGATGGCTGGAGGAACGCTTGTCGCACGACATAATCGAGCCAGAATCGGCGAAGATTTGTTCATATTCTCGAGGAAATTATCATAGGCTTCCGGGCGACCCGATGTTCCAACACTCGACGCATCAACTTCGTTCGACATCGACTCGTCCGGTCCAACGGCAATCGTCGTCAACCGCTTCGTCGATCGTTGTATACATTTAAAGCACGGTTTTGGTTTGACAGTTTTTTTGCTTTCGGGGTCGCCCAATGAAAGATCGGCTGTACATGACACGGAACGCACCCCCGGAGGAATGGAAGAGGTTCCAACCTCTCGGGTTAATGGACAAGCCGACATACTTGAATCTCTCGTCGACACTTTCCTGACTGGCACTTCGGGTTTGCATTCCGGCGAAATAAGAGGATCACGGAGGTCTTTCAGCGAAACTTTTCTTCTCTCTCGAATCGGAGTATGACGGCTGCGATCAACGCTGGAGTCTGTTTCATGATCTACGAAAAAATGTAGGAAATTATTGAAGTTTTAAAAGTGAATTTTAAAATTTCAACTTACTTAGCTGAGGGGAGGGCGACGATTCGACGATTTCATCTGAATAAAAAGTAGTCATAGAATAGTTGAACAAACTTCGGAGTACTGCAGCCCAACGTGAAACAAATTGGACTGGAACTGGGAATTTAATGCAAATGCTCCGAAAAAAAAAATTCTGTCGGACACAAGATTCTCGTTCCCTCTAGGTCTAGAGTACAGTAATCTAAACAATTCCCTCTGAACAATCTAATGAACAAAAGCTAATATATATTGATTTTAAGGGTTTACACACCATTTTCAAAACTGCCCCCGACGCTTCTGTTGCGAGGATCCTGTTTGTTGAGAGATAGCTGCCGATTTTCTTCCTTCAGAACCGACACCTTGACCTGTGAAATATAAAATCCGAGTTTATCACTCACAGGAATCGGGTCATACTCGAGGAAGACTCCAACCTGTAGAACTTTTACTATCTCCTCGAGTTCGCGTACTTTCGTCAGACTCTGAGCAACATTGCCGCGAGCAGTCTGGAAAACAAAATTGCCGAATCAGGTAGAATACAGCAAAACAGAAAAGTACAGTATATGAAAATTTTATAAACAGTACGGTACAGTATTTCGATCCACTCCAGCGTAGAAAAATTTATGACTTGAAAAAATTATTCTGATCAGAAATTCTCAAAAGAGAAGTAATTACCAGTAAAGCTTCCGGAACGGAGGAAGCAGCGCTATTAGTGCTGATCGCATCTGAGTCGTTTCCATCCCGACGCTTCGCAGCTTTCACAAGGCTGTCATGCGCACTGCTGGCGGAAGACATGCTCGAAAGCGAACTAGTTGACATTGTTCGCGTTAAATCATACATCGTGTATGCAGCTGCACTTCCTGAAAACGTGGATAGAGTCATAAATGAAAACAACTTGACCAGCAACGGTAACGCCTTTCGTGAAGGGAAATCGAACTTTGATTGCTGTTGCCCCAGCTGACATTGAAAATAAAGTGACTGAAGAGTTGAGTGAGTGACGAAAAGCAGGGGTACCCGTACACAACGGAATCGTGAATAGTCAAACGATGATGCAGTTATGTTAGATCATCTTAGTCTCCTTCGAACTGTTTTTTTTTTATGTCTTACAGGAGAAAGTGAAGTATGCTCAGTTTATTCGCAAATTTTAAAAAAATCAGAGGCAACAATGCGGTTGACATTATTTCAACTCAAGTAGCCTTCCTACAATAAATGAATTGAATTTCACGAGGAACTCACAGAAAATTCAGATCTCTAATTCTCCACCCTGATGAGATTTTTCAGCGGTGTCGTAAAATATTTGTATTGCTTCTCAAGATATAAAATGTACTGATCACATTACACAGCCTTGTTTCAAATGAATCTTATCATTAGGCCGTATAAGAGGTTCAATTTCCTTTCTGAAATGAATAAAGTAGTAAACGAGTTTAGGTTCTCCTATACTGTATCACAATAATTGAAAATTCACGTATCTTTTGATCACCAATGGTCGAGACTTTTCTTGTGTTGTTTTGAGCTTGCATTGTTTCTACTTTCACTGTTTTCGTCAGTGCTTTTTTGGACACTGTTCCGGAACGCGCTCAACTTTCCGAGAATCAGAAACAGTAATTTTAGGTTGGCAGAGAAAAATTCAGCTGGCCAGGGATGAACTTCGTGCAATGCTCGTTAAACCGATAAATGCATGTTAGAACTGAGCAGGGCACGCTGAGGCAGATCATTCCACGAACGTCTGAACTACTTCCACGTTGAATGAATTTCTGGAATCAAGGGCTAACCAGAACGCCGGAGGTCGTTGGCAGGCCCGCAGGAAGAGGCCCTTTGCCCCGTGGCGAAATCGCCAGAGAAGTGGCGCCCGTTGCGAACAGGTCGGTCGGCGCCGATGGATAAGTCCGCATGGTTGAACCGCGGCCCGACGCTCGTCCCTCGACGACTCAGAGTGCTTGCCCGGCTGCTGTTACGAGACCGCTCCAAGGACTCCTCAAAGTCGTCCAGGGCTTCGCGGAGTTCGGCATCGTACTTCGTCGGAGAGCCGTCTCGGTCGTCAGCGTTGCTTTCCCCGCCGCTTCCATTTTGTCTCACCGCGAGCTCCTCCCAGCGAGGAATCTGAAACTGCACCAAGATGCTCAGTCAAGTTTTCCCTGCTCATCAACTAGAAATATCCTGTCTACGAACACGGACAATGATTTTTCCGAAGACGAAACACTGGTGCCTGTAACGTATTTAGTACACTACTGATGGACACGCTCAACAACGATGCACAGGGGTCCACCGAATTCGATAACACCACGTGGAGAAGTATGATTGAAAACAAAAATAGCCGTCATATTCTTTAAGCAACCAGAATGGAATTGAATCTGATCGTAAACTATTTTTTAGTCGCTGCTAACCATTTGTAAAAAAATTTTCTCACTTCAACTCCAAAAGAACTGAAGAAAAGAAGTGCTCAATTGATTTGTGGGCGAACGGGAAGATTTTCTGACATGGACGCTTATTTAAGCGAATTTCATAAATTTGCGAGTACAGTATAAGTACACCCTTAGCTTTCGAGCTTCTAAAATGGAAAGAAGCGCTTATTTTCGCGTAAATGCGATTATTATACGGGCTTTTTAGGTAATTTTCTGTTTTCTGATTTATTTTTACATTATCCGCCCGATTTTGTTTCCATGAATGTCCACAGCGTGTAAGCCATTTTCTGTTCCATTAATCTCGACTTCAGCGACGATGACTTATAATTTACTGCAAGGTATCAGTACAGTAATCGGTGCTATTAAAAGAGAAGTCCATAAAATAAACAAAAACATTTCGATGACGAGAAAAGGATTCCGCGAATGTTTTGAGAAACTCTATTACACGCAGACGTAACAGGATGACGCGCTATAGGGACTGAAGATCCACTTAATTATTCATAGTATAGTATCATAATTGGGGGAGCGGAAACCTCAGAATCAATATGGAGACTGGAAACCCCACACAATGATCTGATCATCTCAATCGTTCGATTTTCAAATGGAATGTGGTGAAAAATTGGACCGAAACCCGCAAATATCATATACTGTACTGTATATTTTTCTGCACAATTTTTATTCAGATAATTGCATACAAAGTAGGCCTTCAAGCTTTTTTGTATTGTATCAGCTGTGCATGAGCTTTTCCTTCAGGCTTCACCTAAATTTACAACTTTGCCTATATAACGAGTTAAATAGGAATAAGTTGAGGACAGCACAATTAACCTCGGATCAATAAATCGCAGATCTATTCCTGTCATAATTGATTCAATTTCGGCTACCCGCATTGGGAGATCAGATGTAACACTCATCACCATCAATATCCTATTATTAAAGTTCGCAACTCAATGACATGTTTTGACATCAGCAACAATGATTGACCATGTTTTAGAGGAGAACTATATTACAGTATCTGAATTTAAAGGTCCATCAGAGCCATTATTATAGGTTCAATGCCTGCAGAAAATCGACGTTAGAGTCGATAATTGCACCTCAAGTCCACAAGGCATCTCGAAACATCAAAATTCACCTCGTCCTAAATCCCAGATTTTCATCAACAAGCGAATGGCAAAACAGCACACGATGTTGATGACTCAGTGAATTTGACCAAACAAGCTAGGTAATTCACGAGACTGCGGCGTACGATACAGAAGCTGTTCTTCGACTGAGAATTAATCGATTATGTAATGCATTTCTCAATGCATTAACATTTTAAACTCGTCTGAAATTCTTGAAAATTTCTGAAGTACAGTAATCGACTCGGCGAAGCGTGAACGAACTTCGACGGTCTCCACTTACAATTGGCCCAGAGAAATGGAAAACGAAATAACTGCTGGTATAAGCAGTACTCCTGTCATACCGCGAAGAAGAAACAAATAAATCCGAATGCGAGATTTTGTTTTTTACCAGATGTCGCTCTCCCATAATGGAAACTGCGTGGCCTTATACTGAAACCCCCAACACAATATGCGCTTAGCCTCACTGCAACTGTTGACGCAGGGAGCAATTCCCTTCGAAGTAAATGTAAATACTGTAGTATTTAATTCCAAGACAGCGAACACGTAGGCCGAGCTAATGCGTGTATAGTTTGTATACCAATTGATAACTTCAGAAATCACTCACCCTCTCAAGCGCACAAGCCGTTTCCACATTTTCTGTTGCTTGCCCAAGCATAGCTTGCACGGACTTCCTCTGCTTCCGCTTGTACTTCTTGAGCTTCCGCAGACGTGACAAGTACGTTCCCGTAGAAACTTCGTTGCAGAAGTCGAGGAAGTCCAGATGAATGTGATACCCGTACGGACAGCAAGAGCACCGAAGCTTCTTCGGCGTAACTCTGAAGGAGTCTGAAATGAATATTGTTAGGAACTGTCGGTCAATTCAAGTCCATCGAGACTCTCGCTACACAGCGGAGTCGAAACCAGCAACGGGAAACGAAACGCCGCGAAGCTCAAAAAAGCACGCACATCTAGTTAGAAGTTCCAGCTATTCTCGGTCACGTTCCCTCCCTGTTCTGCCGGTCTCATTTCTGTCTAGAGTCGGTTTTATTTCGAAGTGACTGGCTAAAAACGACCAACGAAGCAGGCAGATTTATCCGATGCCAATCCACAGGTGTAATGCGAAGATCGAACAATCCACATTTTGAGACTAAGAAAATAATATTTTATTGGAAGCAAGCGTATTTGCCAGTGTTCCAGTGAATGATGAACTACAAGTAATTCTGCAGAAAATACAGTTTCTCACATCTCAAATAATGATTCAACCCATGACTTGTGTTTTGAGATACAGTAATCTGTCGCACAAAGTTCATGGTGCATGAGTAATAAACAAACCCCCAGGCAAGGGCACCGTTAGCCTGGGGAACGTTACTACTAATCTAACTTAATTCTCTTCACTGCGAATACTGACCCATACATAGCAACCAGGATCCCCCATCCTCAGAAATTTTAGCGGGATCTCGGAATTTTGGATCCGCTTTTATTCTTTCACTTAGGGATGGGTTGGGATAATATTATAGATATCGGGACAGTGAAGAGAATTAAGTTAGATTAGTAGTAACGTTCCCCAGGCTAACGGTGCCCTTGCCTGGGGGTTTG